AAAGAAAATGATTGGCATGGAGATGAAAATAATCTCTGACCATTTTATACGTTTAAGGAAAACTCTGAGACTCAAAATAGGAGGGGGGTGACATATCCATAAAGTACCACTCTAGGATATACTCGATTTTACTTAGTTTTTTAAATAGCTTTCAGACAAATGGCAAATGAGTAAATAGTAGTGGACAAAATTTAAAATTAAATTTGAAATTAAATTAAAAAATATTTTATATTAAATTAAAAACAATAATTTTAAATTTAATTAGAGAGTAATTAAATATGGGAAGGCACTTAATTCGACTATAATGCTTGCCCATAACTCCCCCCCCTAATTGACGCTCGCGCTCTCAGACTCTCAACTGACAATAAATTTTGCTGTTAAAAGGCATATAGGTGAAGCAAGACGTGGAAGAATGAGAGGAGGCAGGGAGCATGCGATTGATTTATAAAAGATGTTGAAGACGCTAATGTGAGTGTTTTTCAGGAATCGAACATCGGCAATGGAAATTATAAACATTTATTTATGAAGGCCTGCATTCTATAGCATCTATAAATAAGTTAGCGCAAACTCCAGTTGTTTCAAATTCCTCGTTACTTTGACATTCAATTGGCCAAAAATGTCGTGCGAACTTTTTTTAAATTTAAGATTTTAAATTTAAGAAGCATCAAAAAATTTTTCTAAGCCGTCAAAAATTTTTTGACATAAAGAAGACTTAGAAACAAGATTTCTTTTGTAGAAATCTGGCCAAAAACTTAATTACAAACTACAATTTTAATCTCTCTCTCTCCCCTCATTAAAATTTTTTAAAGCAGACATACATTTACATACATGTGATATTGAATTTTAAATCAATTACTCGTGAATAAATAATAAATTTATTTTATTGATTCTTTCTAAATAAATATTTTATTTTAAATAATTTGAAATTAAATTATTTAAAAATTGACTAAAACTTTGGATTCCATTCAAGAAAAAATACCTAATTGGAAAGTCTTAAAAAACTCAAATTTGCATTAATTTTCATCTAATTTTTAAACAAAATTTTTAAATTAATTTAATAGAAAATAATCATTTAAAAATAAATACCGTATTTCCGAAAATAAAACCCCAACCTGAATTAGAACCCCACCCTGAAATAGAGCCCCATTTTTTAAAAATACCTATAATTTAATTATAATTGAGTTTTTCTAATAGTATGCTGTTTTTTATTTATTTTAAGTTTAATAAATCAAATAAGAAGGGAAAAATTATTTTAAGGATAGTAAATCTTTTTCTAGTGATCAGGGGCGGTATGCAAAAAAGCGGGTTGGAGAACCTGGTAAGTCTAGCAGGTTCTATTACTCGGGTAATAGAACTCTCAGTTGAGGGCTAACCCTTATTCAAAAAAAATCGACCCAGAACTCGATGATTACCCGCAGCTGCCTATTGGAGAGAATGAGTCCCTTTTTTGCTCAAAAATGGGGTACTTTACGCGAAATTTATAGTAAATTTATTTTTCAACAAAAATTTTTAAAAATTATATCAAAAAATGGAGCACACTCTAATCTATCTAAAAATATTTAATTTGTAATTTTTCGATTGAGTTTGGATTTTTAAAAAATTTTTAAATAGCTGCGGGTAAGATTTTAACCCTCATCGGAGCAGGGTACAAATTTTACCCGCAGCTGCGGGTTCTATTACCTGCAACCCTCATTTTTGAATAAGGGTTAGAACCATACCCGCAGCTGCGGGTTCTATTACCTGCAACCCTCATTTTTAAATAAGGGTTAGAACCATACCCGCAGCTGCGGGTTCTATTACCCGGGTAACTAACCCACAGCTGCGGGTTACCCCTACCTCCATTTTTGCATAAGGGTTCTGGGTTAACCTACCCGCAGCTGAGGGTTGGTTAACCCCTACCCGCTTTTTTGCATACCGCCCCAGAGCTTTTTCGGATTTTCGATTTTTGACTTTCGAATTCCGATTCTACCTCTGAAACCTCAAAATTATCCTTGGCCTTTCTTAATCTTATTAAGATATTAGGACTGAACCAAGGTAAAATATACACAGAGACTGAAACGTGGTACTTTACCAGGTGTATTTTTTATTATAAAGTTAATTTTTGTAGAATTTAATTGTTTTTATTGAAAAGTTTAATTATAATTTGAAAAAATAGTTGGCCTATTAAGGTCAGAATTTGTTAAAAATTTTGAAAAATAGGTTGAAAAATAGAGCCCCACCCTGGATTAGAACCCCACCCTGAAATAGAGCCCCATCCTGGAGGATAGTTGAAAAATAGAGCCCCATGGGGTTCTATTTTCGGAAATACGGTATGTAGTTTATAATTAATATTTTAATAATTTTTAATAAAAAGGAAAATAATTTTTATTTTTATTTGTACAGTTAGTATATTTTAATACATACATACATATTACTGGATTTTTGATGCAAAGAAAGGAAAATTGAATCGAATTTTAAAAATTTATTTTTATACATAAATGTACAAAAGATCATTTAAAAAAATTTTTTAATTTGGAAAATTAAATTTCTAAAGGAAAATTCGGACCTCTTTCGTAGATTCTGCATTTATTACTTCTTACCATCAAAAACAAATTTCTTTTAAATTTATAAACTTTGAATCAGAAGGATAGAAAAAAATAATTGTCGAGGTGTTAATGATTAATATTTGTCAAACGAGGCAAACTTAAAATTCCAGGCCTTAATTAAAATTTCCCGCCAATATTTAATACAAGAAAAATAAAAAGACTTTCCAAATATTTATGCACTTTACATATTTTTAAAATAACTTGCAAAATTTTTAAAATAAATAAATATATGTAAATATTTTTGAAATAAATAAAATTAGTGTTGTTTGCGACCGGTTTTAAATCAGAAAATTCTTATATTTTTGCCAAAAATTAATCGTTTTTATGAAATTTTAAATACCAAAAACCGGAAATTCATTGAAATGAACGATTTAAAAAAATTTCCCCAAAATAAAACCGATGTTTAATCAAAACTCAGAATCGTAACCGGATTTTGTTAATTTGGATTAACTGAAAACCGAGAGTACCAATTAATAAATATCGCATACAACACTAGTTAGATTCAGTGCTTCGAAGCTCGTACCAAAATTCGTACTCGTACCTCGTACTCGTACTCGTACCTGGTACGAAGTACGAGTACGAGTACGAGCAAAAAAATTGGGCAGGTACGAAGTACGAGTACGAGTACGAGGCCAAAAAAAAGTGAAAAGTACGAGTACGAGGCCCAAGTACGAGCTCGTACTTCTCGTACTTGGTGTTAATAGGAAAATTGAAAGAAATATATTTTGTTCCTTTCATTTTTTAATGTGTGAGCGTGTGGCCGAGTGGTGAAGGTGCTTGGCTTCACCAAAGTCTATGATGATTTAATTTGGGTTCGTTTCCTATTCACTGACAAGGAATTTTAATATTTTTCTCTTCATAAATAACTTATTTATAATTTTAATTTTTTTTAAAAATTATTGTATTTTTACTTGGATTAATTATGAGATTTTGACCATCCAAAATTCTTAATATTTTTTTCTTTGCACACTAAAAGTGAATTTTTTCGCCTACGGCCTTCGGAAATTTTCAAAATTTTCGCCTGCGGCGCTGAAAAAATAAGAAAGGTAGCTTATTGGCTTCCAAATTCTAAAATTTTCGCCTTCGGCGGTGAAAAATGAAAGAAATCTGGCTTCATGGCCTTCAAAATTTTTCAAAATTTTCGCCTGCGGCGCAAAAATAGAAGAAATCTGACTTAAGGACATCCAAAATTCTCAAAATTTTTGAAAAAAAGTATTTGAGATTAAGAGGGATATAAGGAGATTAAAATGTGAAAAGTTCAGTGGAAAGATAGGTAATAGTTCGGATGAGACCCCCCCCTTTTTTTCCTTCCTCAAAATGTTAAAAAATGGTCAGGCAGTCTTAGACCTCTTTGCTGATTGTTTTTATTTGTATCTCGGCACAAAGTTAGATTAGGGGTTGATTTTGGTGTCATTCGACACAGTTCGACGAGTTCTATAACCTAGGTCTGATTGACCATTTTTTAATACTTTTAGAAAAGAAAAGTCGGGGGGGGGGGGTCTCATCCGAACTATTACCGAAAGATAAAAAGTTCCATGTAAGAAGATGAAAATCGGATGAAAAAATGTCGGATTTCGAGTAGCCCGACCCATCTTTGAGAAAATATTTCTCCTTGCACTCCAAAATGCTCAAAAATTTCGCCTGCGGCGCAGCAAATTGATGAAATTGGAGGATTTATAACTTCAAAGCCTTCCAAGATTAAAAAATTAACACATACAACGCTTAAAATTTAAAAATAGATGGCCTGAGCTCCAAAAAATCATAAAAATTTTCGATTTTTTGCTTTTTTCTCAAGTACGAGTAAGTACGAGGTACGAGTACGAGGTACGAGGCCAAAAATAAGGGTGGTACGAGGTACGAGTACGAGTACGAGCAAAAAAATGAGGGTGGTACGAGGTACGAGTACGAGTACGAGGCCAAAAAAAGAGGTGGTACGAAGTACGAGTACGAGCAAATTCGAAATTTCGAAGCACTGGTTAGATTGCAGTAATCTCAACAATATGAGAGAATTTTGTATAAATTTTCGTTTAGTAATTTTAAAAAATAAATATGTAATTATTAGGGAGTGGCAAAACATGCAAATGCATATTTTGTATGCGGATATGCCATGATCTGAAACGCTCAAAAATGGTGTTTTTACGTCGGTACGAACATTAGGGACCGGGTTCCTATAGCATATTTTTGCATATTTCGGTACTTCCGTGCATATTTGCATATTTGTGCATATTTTGGGGAATTTTGCATATTTTTACCTAAATTTGTGCATATTTTGCCATTTTTTGTGAAATTTTAGTAAAAATTGGGCAAAATTTTCAAAATTTTGGAATTTTTTGAGCAAAAAATTTTTTTTGAAAATTTGTTGAAAAAATTTTTTCGAAAAATTTTTCGCGAAAATTTTTTTTTCAAAAAATTTTTTTTGGTTGAATTTTAAGTTAATAAAATCCTTTAGAAGTGCTTTTAACTGCAACATTTACGCGCAACATTTTCTAAATCAGGGAATTGAGGCCCATTTTCCTTCCACCATTTGAATACATCATGTTTTATGTCAGGCCGATTACATATTACTTTGTATGTTGCAAGTTGCATTTGAATTCGTGTAGAGAGATTAGCTTGTGTTTCACCAGATAAAGTAGAAGGAACTGATACACCACCTGGTGATTTTGGTTGCTTCCATATATCATCTGAAATTTTACATAAGTATAAATTTAACAGATAAATTTACAGTTAACGAATTCTTCACTCCCTTCACTTTCTTCTTCTAACATTTCATCAAATTCAGCAAAAGAGGTTGTTGCTTCAGTATTACCGATCTCTATTTCATCTAAAACATCAAATTTGTTAGAAAATGAAACAAGATCTTCTTCAATAATCAGCCAATGAGCTTTTGAAAATATCTGAAAATAAAATTTTAAAACAATACATAAAAAAGTAAAACCTTATCATCATATGCAAATCTAGGATCAAGTAGTGTGCTTATTCTTAATATCTTATTATCTATAAGTTTCTTTACTCGTATATTAATCGAATCAACTAAACATTTAACAAAACTTTCCAGAGATTTAGGTATGGTTTTTTCATTATCTAAAAAATCTCTGATTCGTTTTAATATAGGAAGAATAGATGATGCTGTGGACTTTTCTTTTGAGAACTGTAAATTAGTTTTTATAATATTTAAACAATTTTTAACCTTCTGTGTTTCAACATCGAATATTTGGAGAATAGGGCAAACTTGCTTAAGTAAATCAAAATCTTTATTTGAAATTTGTGTTAATGTGGATGGAATGCTATCATAACCAACAAGGCGAGAACGTTTCTGTATAGGTCTTATTTTCTCTTAATTGTTGGTACACATCAGGATTCTAAATGCTTCCAAAGACCAGTTGTTGACCCATCTTTCCTACGTAATTTATTCTTGCAAATTGTGCACTCCGCAGCTGATGTAAGTTTATTAAAATATTTCCAAATATCAGACATTTTCTTTATGTTTAAAATAAAAATACATAAATAAATCTTAAATATAAAATTTATAAAAAATGTTTTAAGTAAAAAATCTATAAAAAATGAGTCATCATTGAGAGAAAAAATCAAAAATATAAAACGCCAACATTTAATTATAAATATAGTTATTAGATATAAATAGTCATTTTTCATATTGCCATTTTTTATAGTCATTTGTTTCTTTGAGTCAGTATCGTTTCTCGCCGAGAAATGGACCGAGAATATCGGTATCGGTTTCGAGACCGAGAATGAAAAAACCGAGACCGATATTGGAAAAAAGCCGAGAATCTCGGTATCGGTCTCGGTATCGGTCTCGCCTTGATCAACTCTAATTTAAACATATTTGATACCATAAATGAAAAAGTGAATAAATTAATAAATGAAAAACTGATTTGTTCATAATTTTAAAAAATTGGGGATACCGTATTTTCTCGGTTACCAACCCATAGATGGATTTTTGGAAGATCCTTATGCCAAAAATAATTTGGAAAAAAAATTAGGAAAAAAATCTTGAATAGGTTTTTACTTGATTAGGTCGAGACAATGAGAACTGTCATGGTGCTGTCAGTCGATCTTTGTTATTCTATATCTTGGTCAAAACCCGAAATCGTGAGTCTGGCTCAAAATGCCTGCAGCATTGAAAAAAAAAGATTTTTGGCTTAAGGATCTTACAAAAAATCTCAAAATTTTCGCCTGCGGCCTATCCTTGGTTGGGAATTAATCTAAAAATACGATATGCAGAATGAATCACGAGGACATATAAATTCTTAACAAATAAATAAGGGGATACTTAATTGAGGTAAATATAATCGAAGGGCACATTTAAACCTGACATTCGCGGTCCACGGCTGAAATAATAATTCAAATACAAAATTAAAGCATGTTTTTGGTATTTTATGAAAGTTTTGTAATCTGACAAAGCGATTGCAATTGGCTTGTAAAATAAATAATAAAATAAAATCAAATAATAATAAAATAAAATCTCTTGTAAAATAAAATCAAAATCTACAACTTAAATAATATACCGCAAATGTCAGATATTTTTAAAATAATTCTTAATTTACAAATCTTTCAATCATTTAATTTTTTCACTAAAAATCATATCCTTGTCTTTCGTCATAATAATAGTTTTAATTCTTTGCCTTTTTCTCCTTCTTTTCAGGAGATTTTTTTAAGAATGTTTTCACTCCTTTCACAAATTTCTGTAATTTTGTTGGATTCTCTTTTTCCATTTCTTTTTTAATTCTTTGAAAAAATGTTTAATTTTATTCTTAATATATTCTTCTTTGTTGATATTATTCTTAACTTTGGACTCTATACCAATATTTTTAAAAAATATTTCAATTTCATTACAAATAAATCGTACAAATTCATTTTCTCCTTCCGAATTTTCCATTTTTTCCTCACAAATTTCTTTTCCTTTCAATATTATTTGAAAATTATGTTCCCCGAAAAATTTAATTTGCTCATAAACCTCCTAAATTTAATTAAAAATATTTTTTAATATAATAATCATCTTCAAAAAAATCCTTTAGTTACTGATTCTTTTATGGTTATTCGAATATTTTTTACAAAATTTGAAGGGAATTTTCTTACTTTTTCTAACAGGTTCTTTACCGATTGAGCTCCCGAAGCGCTGCTTTTTCAGGAATACAACCACTCAGAATTCAATCAGAAACTGATCGGCTAGGCTAGCAGCAGGCCTTGCAGCCTTATTTGATATTATTTTTAAATATTTTTACCTTATATTTTCGTTCAACCCCTTTTAATTTCTTCCCATTTCTTTCCTTTTTAATTAAAAAATTAAAACTCTGAAGTAAACGATCAAATCTTTTATCAGTTTTGAAAAAAAATTCAATATCCGGATATTCTTCGTCCATTTCTTCAAATTTATTTTTTAAAACTTCTTTCGCCTCTTCTTCACCAATTTTTGATAGAAACTTATCAAAAATTGGTTTAAAAATTTCCTTAAATTCGGGAAAAGATTCAATTTCTTCTTTTTCTTCTTCATAATGTGTTATTTCATTTTCGCACTTACTAAATATTTCATTTAATATTCCTTCATTTTCCCCCACAATTTCTTCTTCAATTTCTCCCTTAATTTCTTCATTAACCATAGGCTTTTTATTTTTTTCATTTTCGTTTTTTAAAAACATATTCTTAATACCAAAATTTCCCAATTCATTCCTTAATAGTTCATACAGCTTTTCGAAATAGTTAACTAGTATTTTATTATTCTCAAAAATCAGTTCCATTTTATCTTTTTCATTTTCAAGCTCGTCCAAAATTTCAAAAAATTTATTTTCCTTCAATGGTTTTAAATATTTATCTTGCATTTTCTAAAAATATAATTTAGAGATCATAAAATTTTACAAAATTTTCTCCCTAGCCGATTAGTTTGAGAGTGAAGCGCAAAACAAAATACCGTAAATATCCTAATATGTACCCTGGGCTTATATTTTTCAATACCCCTCATTGGGTGGGCTTATAATAGGGCAGGGCGTCTATTAGGATATTTACGGTATGCTAAAATACCCTCCTAACGGAACACTTTCTAATCAAAATACCTCAATAAAAAATTATTCTTTTTAAATTTATTTTTAAACTGAAATACATATGTATGTAGGCAATACTGGAAACAGTTAAATACACCTTCAATATTACAACAAGCAAACAATTGTTATATCAAGACTTACATATTTTGACAAAGACCATCAAAATTTTAATGACTCCTCTCTCCCAAATTCAATTTTTTCAGGGAGTAAGAAATATGCCGTAATAGGAGTTCTACCTAGCAGCATCTTGCGAGGGATCTAATTTTTATGCACGTTCACTAATAATAAAGAATTGAGGGAACTCCTTCGGGAACTCTATCACTTAGGCTTTTTCAATAATTGATCTTTGTAGCAAATTATGTATGAAAATTTTAAAAAATAAAATAATTTTTAATAAGTTATTTTGGTCGGATGATATTACTGTCCAGAAGGTGTTCTAATAGAAGGTGTTTTAACCTGACACTTTAGTTAAATCAATTAATTATGTACTATGGCTATTTTAATTTTATAAGTAAAAACCTGGAATTTATATATTTGAAACCAGTCAAGTTTAGACTTATTTTCTATCATTTTATCAGTGAAAGCTTTATTGAAAATTTTTAATTTCTTAGCACTATTTATATGTTCAATAATATCTTTGTTCAATTCTTTGCACCGTGAAAAATCATTAATTAATGAATTTTGTTGTAACAAAATCAAATAAAATTTAGAAAAAATTTCTGTAAAATACTCGGCTTTTTTAATATTACTTGCTTCGTTTAAAACTTTAATATATTCTAAAAATTATTAATTTTTATTAAATAATAAAGAATTTTTAAATTTATGTATTTATGTGAATAGAGCTGGATATCTAATTTTCCGGCTGATCACTAGTTACAAATTGGAGATCGAACTACCCGATAAAAGGAGTGGTTTTGCGGCACTTTGAGAAAAAATTTAGAATAAAAAATTCCACTTCTTCCAAATAAATAAATTTGGGTGTATATTTAGCCTCGATCCAAGACGAGGTTTCTAGCAAGAACCGAAGCCGAAGTTCCAAGATCGACGCCAGGGGTGTCGATATCGTTTGTCGATTGCCTCCTTAATTTTTTTGGCCCAGGACGAACCAAGACCGAGAAAATGGATGAGAACCTCGCGAAAAATTAATGTATTTATTGGAGGTATATTAAATAAAATCCGAGAATTTACTCAAAGGGTCAATTTACTCATATATACTCGACAAGCGATGAAATAATTGGATCGACTTACAGCAATCCCTATTTATAATCCATTATTTTTACCTTTGCCTTGGGAAGTATAACCTTTATCTGTTTACTTAAATTGAATCTCACTTTCTTCATTTTTTTAACAGTTTTTGGACTTTCTTCATTTTTAACATTACTTGTTTCCCCTTTTTCTTCCAATATTTCTTTATCTACCTCCATCAAATTCATCTTTCCTTTAACATCTTTTGGAATTTCTTCATTTATAACATCACTCACTTCCCCCTCTTCACGCCGTTCTTTTTCAATACCCGAATCCACCAAATTCACAATTAACAAAAATAATATACATCGAAATATTCAATAATTCCAAACTTTCCAATATTTCATTCGGTATTGCTTCAATTTAAAGTTTATGTCCAATGAATAGGTGAAATATAAAATCGACAGTAACTCAAAGATATCCCACTATACTAGTTAAGAATAAGTTTCTGATTCAAAACCTAACAGAGAAAGCTTTTAAAAAAGATTTTTTATATTCGGTAAAGAAATATGTAATTTGTACATTTACGCTAATCTAGTTAAAAATATACTCCCTCGAATCACAACAAATGGAAACTTCAAGGACTTTTAAAATTAAATTTAAAATTTAAATAAAAAATATTAAATTTTAAATTTAAATAAAAAATATTTTATATAAAATTAAAAGCTATAATTTTAAATTTTCATAAGGGGAAATTAAATATGGAAAGGCACTTAATTCAGTGTATAATGCTTGCCCATACCCCCCCCCCCCATTGTTGACGCTCGCACTCTCAGACTCTCACAATAAATTTCAATGTGATGGCAGCTATTTAATTAGATGCGTGCGGTTAAAAATGGAACATGCTTTAAAAATGGGAGGAAATATGGAGCATGCGATAGATTTTATAATAGATGTTGAGGACGTTAATGTGAGTGTTCTTGAAAAATCACACATCGGCATATGGAAACATATTTACAAGATAAGCTCCGAAAACCGGATTTTATCAAATACCCGGTTTCCCGGCTATTTTCTTATAATGAATAAAACACTTCAGTTGCTTCAAATTCCTCGTTACTTTGACATTGTTTGGATTTAAAGAAGACTAAGAAACAAGATTTTTTTGTAGAAATCTGGCCAAAAACTTAATTACAAACTACAATTTTAATCTCTCTCTTTCTCCTCTGATTAAAAATTTTTTAAAGCATACATACATTTACATACATGTGATATTGAATTTTAAATC